TAAAGTGAGATATGTGCCGACTTCAATGCTAGAGTGGCAGAGCTAAAAGGTGTGGAGGCGGGGTGGGGGGGAGACAGACAGACAGACAGACACTGAGACTGAGAGGCAGCCGGCGAGGAGAGAGCGAGAGTGAATGTGACAGAGGAAAGGGAGGGTGGGTAATAAAATCCAAATGCTTAAATATGTTCCTGAATTTCAAAGGCTATTTATGTTTGAGCATTTGGAAAATATCATTGACCTAGTCCTATAAAATTTATCTCTTGCCTCAGATGAATTATAGTCATGTCTGTTTTTCTCCTTTCCACATAACAGTGGCTAAAAACAACTATCAGGAAAGCCATTTCCTACATACATTTTATATGGCTGAACAGTTCAGTGGTCTACTGGATATAATAGTCAATCGGGTGATTTAATGAAAGTAAACAGTTCAATATACACTTTGTTTTTTCCCCTTACAACGTCAATGGTCACCTTCAAGGTTAATGTAAGGAAAACATTTGGCTACTAGTAAAAGACTCATAGTCATACCTAGTTTTGTCAGACATGCCAAAACATTGTTTAAATACAAATGTTTTAGCATTTGCTTACTCTGAAGTTCTTACTCATAACTCACATAAGTAGTCACTTGAACAGTCATTCAAGTGTGTAAAGTTTTTTTTTGTTTAAAATTATGATCGTGGATTTAATGATACATGCCAAATGTAGGTTTCCTGAAACAGAGCATTTTAATGCTCCACTATGAGAGTGAAAGGAGCAATTCTAATAGTGTTGTGCTAAATATAATTGTGGAGAAATTATCAAAGGTCAGGGAAAACTAGTTGTGTTTTGTTTTTAATAGCTGACTAGAGAGAGAGAAAGAGAAAGAGAAAGAGAGAGAGAGAGAGAGAGAGAGAGTGTGTGTGTGTGTGTTACTGTATTGACAGCTTTGCTTAAAATATTTCTCTACCAAAAAATGATTGTTTTCAGCAAATATTACTACTATGGTTGGAATGGAGGAGTCTCTTTAAGTGCTTTCAGATGTAACAAAAGGAGGGAACAATAAGAAAATTTGATGGACATGAAGAGGAGAAACTTTTTTATACTTTGCTAGGATACGTGGTTTAAAGGAAGGTCTTCCATATCTTTTATCATGATTTTGCCACGTTAAACCAAAAGGCATTTAAATAAGTCCTAAAAGTTATATTATTTTGCGAAGTTGCTGAAGACTAATTTTGGCAAATAATTTATGATCAAAACTATATTCTAGAAGCAAAAGAGCAAACTGAAACAGGAGTATCTGTGGTGTTAGGGAAGGGGCTTCGATTCTCCCTCCTCACTCAAATTTATTCCTTATTAGTCGGTATATTGTTTTCAACTTTCATACATCACATACTCAAAAACTAGACTACAGATTCTAACCAGTGTTTTGAATTTTTGGATCGTTAGTTTATGATTTTCCAACATAGATCATGGGAGACATTTCATGAATCATCATCACCTCTGTAGGTGAGAACAATGGATAATGACATGATTTAAAAAAAAAAAAAAAAAAAAGAGCTGTTGAATTCACTCAGAATCCAAAACTGCAACATCAAAAGCAGTCATAATTCATTCCAATACTAATGCTTTTAGAATTTTGGGCTCAATGTTTTAGTTTTATTAGTACATAAAGCATCAGAAGACATAAATTGCTCCATGTATTTGTTCACATAAACTGTCTTGCAGATAAAAGATATTTGGTCCCGCCCACCTCCCTCCCTCTGTCTTTCTCTGTATCTAAAACAGCAAATGCAAAAGATATGCCCTAACTCCCTAAAGGATTTCCATATTAGCATATGCAGTAGGTTGAGTCTCAGAAGTTCCATATATCAGGGAACTGGCATTATGCAATGTTATACAAAGACATATCACAGACAAAATGTGAAGTTCTGTATTTCCATGGTTTGGAAAGTGATTACCGTATTTGATGTGGTGACTGACACATCAAGTGGGCGACATGCTCTAGTTGTAACTCATGACAAGAAGGCAGTAGATCAATTCCAGCTGTTCCCTAAGGAGGCTACATAGCATCCCTTAAACGCTGGGTCTTCATAGGCTCACACTCTGTTTTTGACCCAAACTCAGATGTGAGAGGTTCAGGACTGACTGCAGTAATCTGACCTGAAAGAGTCCACTGAGAACCTTCACGCTTCAAAGAAGGGACAGAGCAAGGTCATGGCTCCAAAAGGACACATAGCAGGATCTGCTTGATACTGAAGCAGAGGCGTGCATCTGTTTGTCTGCCCTATGGCAAGAAGTGAAACTAGTGACTTTGCTGATAGGAAAAATACAAACAGTGGTCCCAAGGAGGATGTACAATGATGCACAAACAGAAAATTGTGTTTCCTTTACAAACATCACTTCAGTCTACGTGGTGTCATAAACATACAAAGAGTCTGAGGCAGAATAGTCAGACCTGATGCTTCTGAACAACGTAACACTCTGGTGAGGTCACACGACCTGGAAATTGAGCAAGATCCTAGGGCAGGATGACTTTCTTCATGCTTGGAGAAGAATAAAATTTTATGGTGTAGGGCACATAAATGAGAAATGCCTTGTGGTCAACGTTGCTTATGTTTCTGGGCTGCTCTCATGTGAGGCACATTTCTACACTGAGGAGTCTAGTTGTTAGTGGGTTTTGGTCAGTAAAAGTATGCAATAGATTGCTCTTTTTGACTGGAATTTTAGAAGGATGTTTTTTCATCATTAGCTTAGTTTGCTTTGAGTATAAAAGACTATATTTTAAAAAGCCTTAAGTCACTGAACTTGACCTCCTTGTCTGAATGGAACTTAATGTTTTACTAATAAAGAAGTTGATATAAAATGCAGTGTACAGACCCCATGATAAAGAAGATATTGTCTTTAAGGAGGTTTCACATTTCCAGGGAACTACAAAAACACTGTTCTGCTTATGGCTTTGAAAATGAAACAAAGAACTATTGAAATCCAAAAGATACAT